TACATACCTAGGATCTATTCTTGAGGCAAACCTCTCCTATGATAAAATGGCATCCAATGTAATAAAAAAAGGCAATCAAAGAACTAGATTCCTATACCGGATCTCTGGTAAACAAAAACACCCTGAAAACTCTGGCAGGAGCACTCATTCAAGGGTACTATGACTATGCTTGCACGTCATGGTACCATAGCACCTCCAAGGCGCTAAAAATAAAACTTCAAACATCGCAAAATAAACTGGTCAGACTACTGCTTGACCTTTCATCTAGAACCCACCTCACCTCTGCCCACTTTGACAACCTAGGATGGCTTAGAGTAGACGACAGAGTACAGCTACTTGCAATGGGCCTGGTCTACAAGATCCACTACACCTCTATGGTACCCATGTACATGTCAAAATTATTCCCAAAGGTCAAGGAATACCATGATCATAACACCAGAGGGAGCTCCACAAATCATGTGAAACCCAGATTTGGCACAAAAAAGGGGGAATACACGTTTCGCAATTATGCCACATCAAGGTGGAACGCTCTTCCCACAACTGTAAAGGAAAGTAAAACTATACTTACCTTCAAAACCTCTCTTAAAGAGCACCTTCGGGGGAGAGCATTGCAAAACTGGCCCCGGTAATGGTACAAATCTCAACCTGTCGTACAATGGACAGCTTCCCCCCCTCCATCTATGTATATACTCGCATTTTAGACTCTGTTACTAACTGTATATCTGTAGACTTGGTATGTCTTAAATGTCCGGTTAGGATGTATTAGAACGAAATCTAAAATGAAAATTGTAAACAAGCAATCTGTATGTAAAAAACCACCTGTATGTAAATTGTAAATAAGCCATCTGTATGTCAAATATGTCTTATATGTCTTAAATGACATGATAAATTGGAAATGGGGGACCCTGATGTAAACAAGACGAAAGTCTTTCTCTGGTCTGCATCCCCTTAACAATTGTATGTTTTGAGCTGTACTGTACTGTACCCAATATACAAGCTGTTAATAAACTTTTCAATCAATCAATCAATCAACGTCATTGCGGGCACAGCGCTCCAGCTGCACCGTTCAGGATCCCAGCATCTGCATGTAAACGCACGATGGCGCACACAGCAGCAAGCTCAGACAGCGATGCCAGTTTAATTTTGAACGTGTCTGAGAGCTCATATGAGGCTGAAGGATCGGTTTATGTTGTATCTGTTAGAAGTTTAGGAATTAGGTGCGTCAATATGGGCGATCATACGGTCATGTAGCCAGTGGTGGACTGGGACTAAAAATCATCCCGGGACTCTCGACCGGCCCACTTCGGTACCGCTAGTAAGTTGTCAACGGGGGGAGTGGGGGATGTCAGGGGCGGCGGGTGCTGTAGATAGTAAATATAAATATGTAAATATTTGTGTCACTGCACCCTCGTAAAATACAAATATAATGCAATGTGTGTGTCTTTGACATTAGCGCTGCGAGCCACCTGTGCCCTGTACTACGAAGCCAGTTCAACAGACCCTGGATATGTTTGAGTAACAAACAAACTAACAACAACAAACTAACAAACGAGATCTCGCTAAGCGGTCCTACGACGCTGGTTATCAACTCGGTAAATCAAGCCAGGGTTTCTCTCTCCAGCTGAGAGCGCGTTCACGTCTAAGACACGAGTGGATCTGACTTTAATTACATTTGACTCGAGTGTTTCGTCAACATAATGTGTTGCTTAAAATAATACTTCTGCATACACAGTATGTGACACTGTAAGTGTTGCACGGCCAGATACGGCAGATAAGGAAATATATGATATATTATGATATTATATGATCGATGATCTGATTGATGATGTAATATGAATGATAAGTGCGACACGTCGGCGTCTTCTCTGCATACGGCAGTTTAAACTGTATTTCCTTTATCCTGTAATATGACTTGAGAGATTTCAACTCCGCACACTGAGTTGATCTCTTTTCTATAGACGCCGGAGGCGTAAAAAAAGTTATTTAGCCTTCCCAAACCTGAGCCTCACGCGCCGCCTATGGGGGATGTGCTAGTGATTTATCCGACCGGCCCACTTCTGTACCGGCCCATCGGGATTCGTCCCGATGGCCAGTCCGCCACTGCACCCAGCCCGCGTAAACTGTCAACGGGGGGAGCCTCGCTGCGGGGAAACGGTGGACCTAGTGTCCCGATCGGAGTGGGAATAATAATAATAATAATCCGTGCATTTTATCCATTAATTTCCCCAACATTGTGGTGAAAAAACCACACGTTTAATCCATGTTGGTGTACTACAACTACAAAAAGCATCGGTTTGTTTTCTCATCAGGAAATGCAGACTGGCACAAACAAACGATTTTTAATCATCATTCTCACGATCATTTAATGTATCATATGTTCGCCGAATTGACATGAAAGCACTAATAAATGTAGTTTCATCCACTTGAGTTTGCAACTACAAAAATAATCGATTTGTTTTTATATCACATCCTACGGGAGGAAATTCAGCAGCTCTCACTACCGATTTTTAATCCTAATGTAATCATCATCTTCACCACGATCATGTATGTTTATGTTCGCCGAATTGACATGAAAGCACTGACAAATATGAATATACTGTAGTCAACTTCATTAAAACGTTATTAACGTGCCTAAACTCAGTAATTCACCATTTCTACGCATGACAACACACTTTGTCCGTGTTTGGCTCTCTCGCCGCACAGTGAAGCGTTCCCGCATTGACGTCACTTCCGGCTTCCCCCAAAACTTCAAAATGAGTCGAAGGAATTTCCCCGCGATGTTCGAAATTATTGATATTTAACGGAACGGTATCGCTTTTTTCTTTTTTAAACTGACGGTTTGAGATTACTAGTAGCCCAATATTTCATTGCACAACAGTTGTTGGGATGCTGTCACAGGCTCTTTAAGTACATTTTTCTGGTATCAGTACTTTACTCCACTACTTATTTTCTGACAACTTTTTACTTTGACTTCTTACATTTTCCAAACAGGCTGGTTCCTTTAGTTTGAATGTGTGTTTGGTGGCGTGATCATTATTATTTAATAATAATAATAATAAATAATATTTTTATAGCGTCATTGCGTGCCTATTGATTTGAACACGATCCCTGTATCCATCACTTCCTGGTCTTCTCTAAAGAAGAGGGACCAATGAAAACGTTGTCATGTTGCCGTTGTTCAGCATCGAAATATTCATTAGCTAACAATGACGTTATATTTCTATTACTATAAAGTGAGGTCAGTTTCTCTTTAAAACTGTTGGTAGTTATGGGTACTTTTTACTTAAGTACATTTCGAAGCCCATACTTCTTTACTTTTACTTGAGTAAAGAAGTTTAGTCAGTACTTTTTAAATGCGTGTATCTGTACTTCTACTTGAGTAAAAGATGTGTGTACTTTTACCATCTCTGTTTATACGGGTAAATTGGCCCCTCGTGTCTCTCTTCTGTTTATCTCAAACTAACTGCTGCCAGTACCATGAGGCTCCTTACTCCAGTTGTTTTACATTATCGAATTAACTCCAGTAGTATTGAACTTCCATTAAGTCTGAGGAGTCGCAGGAGACGTGATCAAAACGCAGTGCAGCATTGGAAGATATATTTGCTGCTCTCGATACATTTTAGTTCTAAGTGTGAGTCCAGGTAGTGTGCTGCAAGGTTGAGAAACTTGGAATGAGAAGAAGGGAAGAGAATAATCTCACGGCGGAGGATTTAACGGACTTGGAAGCTTTCATTTACCACCATTATTCCTCGGAACATGAATTCCAAATCCTTCAAAGGTAAAAATAAAAGAATAGAGGGGAGAAGCAGGAGCCTTTCAAGGACTCAGCTTTAACTACACACTTTTAGTCTCCCGATTTATATCCTAACAATATAAATCAGTATCAGTATTAAAGTACCACTTCATGAAGAATTAGAAGACTTCAAAATAAAAAACATACATTTGTCGACAATTTAGTTTGATGACTTACTGAACATACTGTAATGCTGTCAGTTAATTGATATGGTAGTATAATGTTTTAATCTTTATGGCAGATTATTTCTTAGGAATTATAGAACGGATGAGATACTAGGAAATGCAACCCCTAGAATATCAAGTTTATCACACGTTGCATGACAGCAGAAAATTGTTGTGGTCATTTGTGGCATTAAAGGTGGGGTAGGTAAGTTTGAGAAACCGGCTCGAGATACACTTTTTGTTATATTCCATGGAATGCTCTTAACATCCGATAGCAATGAATATCTTAAGTGCTTTGACAAAAAATCCATAACAACATTTCATCTGTGGAAGCCGTGATACTGTAAAAAGTACAACCAATCCGTTTAGCCGGCCCGGCTAAAGGGATTGGATTGCCGCCCTGTCTGTCAGCCTTCCATCTCGTGGACGCACAAATGTATCTCGTGCCCTCATTGGGCGTGCATTGCAACAGTACTTTAATGGAGAAGGGTCTAGCCACCGTAGTGTCGTGTCAGTTGGGCGTGTCGTGTAGTGTTGTGTACTGTCCGCGGCCGCAGCTAGACCATATTGCTTCAATGACTCGCCAGCAACAGGTGGCCACTTTCACCAGTCTGCTGACGTCATGTGCGCGTTCATGTGTGTTGGAGAAGGTGCTCTGTAAGGAAGTCTGAAGGAAGGGGCGGATTCTTTTCGGCTGTGTACTTTCAAATTTTAGTGCACTCGAGCCGGTTTCTGAAACGTACCTACCCCACCTTTAAACCTTTTGGCCGCAGATACAAAAAGACCTAAAAGGTTACATTTAACAAGAAGAGCATGGGATCGCCCTTTAGGATGTTAACAATTTGTTCTGATCACAGCTCTTTGTGAGAGGATATTTATTTTTGATCCTTTTTTTGTCATTTTGCTGTTGGAATTTGTACTCCTCAGCTGCCAACCCTCATATAACTATGACTCAAGCATTGATGCAGCATAACACATTTCATATCCTGCTCTGCCCTAAGCTCACGTCTGTGTGTGTTTCTGTGTTTGTGTCTTCCCTGCAGAGATCCGCGAGGCCTTCAAAGTGTTTGACCGCGATGGGAATGGGTTCATCTCAAAGCAGGAGCTGGGGATGGCGATGCGCTCCTTGGGCCACATGCCAAACGAGGTGGAGCTGGAAGTCATCATTCAGAGACTGGACATGGACGGTGAGGCAAACACACACAGCTTAGATTTCATACTGTCTTAAAGGTCTCCTATCATGCAAAATGTACTTTTGTATGTCTTTAATACATAAATATGTGTCCCTGGTGAGTCAGGGAACTCACAACGTGTCAGAAAACAAAACCCTCTCTCTTTTCCTCCGTACCCAAATCTCTAAAAACGGGGGTACAACGGAGCTGATCCAGATTTGCTGCCGATATGACGTATAATCGGAAATGTGGGCTGGCTTTACGCCCACAGTCCTATCAGAAATGTCGCTATCAGAAACAATGCGCGATGTGTTTTGGAAGTAATATGGTCTTTGTTTACATTAGCAAGCATCGCTAACACTCAGAGCTAAGCTGTACTGGAGAGAGTAGGCTATGTGTAAAAAAAAAAGCAGGATATAAGAAGGTACTCACCTTGTGGTAAACCCGCAAGAGAAAATGCATTTGAGCTCCATACTGTTTCCGAAATAATCCTTGATGTGGTTTTGAACATGATATGGCGTTTAATCACGGCAGCATTTAGCTGAGTATCTCGTAGAATTATGAGCAGGCATAAGCTCCCCCCCCCCTCTTTTTTTTTTTTTTAAGCTACGTACCCAGAATCCACACTTCTCTAACCGGGCTGAAATAGATGGATATGAGGCACGGCTAGAATTCATGATCTGCTTGGTATTTTGAGCAAAACACTTCATAGACATGTTTTTTATATATTGTATTGAGACAATATATGCCTAAAAATAGTATGAAAGGAGACCTTTAAGTCGCAAAGCACAGAAGCTTTGCTCTCTTTCAGCAGACAGATGTGGTCTATAGAAGGCAGTCAAACCAGCAGCGATAAACACCAACTGTTTTATTTTATTTTCACAGGCGATGGCCAGGTGGACTTTGAGGAGTTTGTCACTCTTCTGGGCCCAAAGCTGACGGCAGCTAGGTTGCCAGATAAGTTCCACGGCACTGACTTTGATTCTGTATTTTGGAAGGTGATCATTATTCAGTCACTCATTTTGTGCTTATTAAGAAGATAGACAGCAGAGTAGCGGCTCCAGCAAACCTCTGAGCGCAGAATCCTTTAGACTCTGCCAGTGTGCCACTTTAAAAGCCAAACCAGTTTTGAATTGCCACGTCCACTGGGTTGTTATTAATGGGAAGATTTTAATCTGGGAGAGATTCCCTTAAGAATCCAGACTTTGAGTTCATATCTTTGCCTCATTGTGTTTGGCGACAGTCTTAAGACTAAGAACATTAAAGTCAATTTTATGTCAAATTGATATTCAATTATTTACACACGCTTCATTAGATAATCAACTGCTCACTTTGACAGTGGGATGGATTTAATGGGATGATGCTCATCTAAGCTGCCTTTGCTGTAGGTACGTGATAACAGCCAGAGTGGCAGTCAAAAGTGAGGGTCCAAATTTAAGTTTGAAAGAGATGATTTGTGGGAATATTCGCGTTCAGTCAGTTTATAAAAAATGAATCATAACCAAAGACACCTGCTGAGAATGTTAAAATACCAGAGGGAACTATTGCTAAGGCTGGAAAGATAACATTATAAAGCAGTGTGAAGTGATATCAAGCATGTGCTGCACACTGGTGAGCGCTTGCCAAGCTTTGCATGAAATCTGTTTGTGCACAGATGGAAGGCTGACAGGCAGGTAGGCCATCCAGTTACTTTAGCCAGGCCGGCTAAAATGATTGGTCGTGCTTTTTACAGCGCCACGGCTTCCACAGATTACATTTTTTTAATGTATTTATTGTCAAAGCATTTAATGTATTCATCGCTATCGGGATGTTAAGAGCATTCCATGGAATATAACAAAAAATGTTTCTGAAGTGAATTACCTACCCCACCTTTAATACTTTGAAGCAAATTGTGTTTTTGAATAGGAAATTCAATTCAGCTTGTAATTTTGATTGGAGGGCAACTTAGAGAAAAGTGTCACACTTCTACAGTACATGTTAGGGATATTTTTTGTTGTTGTAATTGATAAATCCATATTTGAATCACAATTAAGTGAGCTTTTCCATACACAATTTTTTGCTGTTTGTGTTCTCTTCCTTTCCTACATGAGTTTTTGCCTACATATTGTCTGTAAGTGTTTGTGCGTGTGTGTGGTATTGTGTCCACCCGTCTATGTCTAAGTTAACGTATAGTTATGTGTGTCTTTCTCCAGTGTGACATGCAGAAGTTAACGGTGGAGGAGCTGAAGAGGCTCCTCTACGACACCTTCTGCGATCACCTTTCTATGAAAGACATCGAGAATATCATCATGACTGAGGAGAACCACATAGAGAACCCCGGGGAGTGCCAGGTGGATATAGACAGTAAGGAAGAATGTGAATGATATTTCTTAACAAAAGGTCCCAACTGAGGGCGTTGCGGTTTGTTACGTTTTTTAAGTTATCGATGTTAGTATTGTCAACTATAATAAAACTGTCTACAAATGTCTGCAGAAGGGAGACTTTTAAAAATAAACTTCACCAGTGCTGAAGCTCCATGAGCGTACACAGACTGCACAGAGAACCTTTCATTTAAAAGTCACCGTCAGAAATGCAAAATATCCTGATGGCTGAAGAAAATAAAGATAAATAAAAAGCGTGATCAGATTTAAGAAGCTTGAAAAATCTTCTATTTGGACAAAAATACAAGATTCAAAACCCAATAGTTGCCTTCGCTCTTACTTCATACGATTCTGCCAGTATAACACCTTTTCTCTGAGCGCTGGTGTTTCGAGCATCCTTTAATATGCCAGTCAGGTGCCAATCCATTTGTTTGTTGTTCCAAACCAGCAATCAGCATTTCAATCTAGATGCTGTTACACAGCGTACAGGTGTGAAAACTTATTTTCTCTGGGTGTTCATCCCTTTTAATTGTGTTCATCTAATTCAAAGGCTTTGTGATGCGCTCTTTTCATTCTGAGATATCTTTCAAGCATTAAATTACACCTGATTCAATAGACCTTCAGGCAATTTGTTTTCTTCTTTCACTCCCACCTCTGTTTTGGTTCCCAGGTTCCAGCCCGACCGTCAAGCAAACTTGTGTTCGCAAGAGCTTGATTTGCGCCTTTGCCATTGCTTTCATCATCAGCGTCATGCTTATCGCAGCCAATCAGGTGCTGCGGAGCGGCATGAAGTAGGAGCAGCAGCATTTTCAGCCTTGGCTACCACCTAAAGGCTGCGTCACGGACAAATGACTATAAACATAAAGCTACAAAATATAAAACGGATACAACAGACAATCACGCAACTGTAAAATTGGCAAATGACTGCGGAAACAAAATGGAGTCACCAAGGACACAACATGTGCAGGGATTTGTCAGAAACATGCTGAAAACTTTCAAGGACAACAGGACCTCACATAGACAGAGACAGCGGTGTATGTGAAGTGGACGGCTGCCTATACATATCACTCATACAACATTTAGTATCCATTAGCTATGTGCATTTGAGAAGTGTTGCATTCAGTAAGGTGGCAGCTATAAAGAGAAGTGTTTTGACTGTCCAGTTGTGTATTTGTCCAGTGTACCATGCCGTTTATTATAAAGCAGTAGAAATAAATCTGTGAAATATTGTGGGCACCGTTGGAGAAAATGTATTCCTGAGGCTGGAAGGTGTTGTTATGTGCAAGGTCTGGAGTTCACAGTGTTGTGGAGATATTGTATACGGTGCAACATTGTTCAAGAACAATTTGTGTATAAAGAAAACCTTGGTATGAAACAAATATCCTCAGGGAGGTGCATGTGGTTGAGTGGATAGTTTCACTTATTCACAGGCTGCAGGGTTAGCAAGATTACCAGCTCGCGGGAGGAATTGTGTTGAGGTCTGAAGGGACAGTTTAAACTAAAAAGCACTCGGCTCTCCGGCTCCACTGTGGGGCTTTGCAGGCCTCTGAGAATGACCTTCATCTATGCATGAAATGCATGGACTTAAACAGTCGTCGTCTTGACACATTTGTAAAAGTTATTCTCTATGTATTAATCATAATGACTGTAACAGCTGTTCTCAATTACTTAACGACAACTGTGAGCAATTATGTGCCGTGCCGGGTGTCAGCAATCACAACAAAAGCAAAGCATACAAATGCATGAAAAGGAAGGGCTGCTTTAGTACATGCTCTAAAAAAAAGATTTCCAGGATTGCTAAACTGCTGACCTTGCGCCTGATGACCACTACCACCGTAGAGTTAGATATGTGTCTTGCAACCATTTTAAAGAATATGCATTGGAAATCATCTGGTTGGTAGTGCAGCTGAACAGGAATGTATTTTTTATTTATTTGTTCTGTCTGTATGCGTTGCGAAAGAGCAATAAATGTATGTAAAATATATATCTTATAATGCTTGATACAGACAGGAATCTTCAAAAAAAAGTAACCCCCAGTGGACCTATTAACTGTTAGGGTCAGAAAAGTTGCGAAAGCACTTTCCAAATGAAGATTTTTGCAATACAACAGAGACCCTCTTGTTCTGTGAGACGCAGACAGATGAATGGGAATATGTGTGTCAGAAGCTGCACAGTGCATTGAGGTTTGACAGGGGCCATATGGTGTAATCTGTTGCAATAAAACATAAATATCTGTGAGGCCACCACATGAATATGATTGGGGTAGATTAGATTGTTTTGCATGCATCTGGGTTAGTTCCCTCATCAGTGTGTATTGTACATACAAAAACAACTTCAACCAAAGCTTTGGAGGGATCTGTGACAGCAGAATTAGGCCACACAACAAAAGTGAGCTCAGAAAACAACAATTAATTTAACATTTTAATTCTTGAGATGAACCCAGACATCCTGCATAAGTCCCACAGCTTCCACTCAAATGTTTGAATCAGTAACTGAAACCAAATAAAAAGACATAAAAGGTCCTTCAAAATGCCCTCAAAAACAACACACTGCGATAAACAGTGGAAATCTAAATAATTCACATCTTCTGAATTTCTCTATTTAGGATCTCTATTGGCAGCTTCCCAAACCAGGGCCAAAACCTCATTGAGAGGCAACCCATTTAGACAACCCTATCAACAGGAGCCAGGCAGGATAATGATTATCTGATGCACCCGGGCAATTTGTCAAAAGTGTCAACTCTGTGGGGAACACACGTAATAAAAGGGAGGAAAAAGCCCGTTTGTTAACAGATACCTTTGTTTCCATTTTTGCACTTTACGATGTGCTGCAGCGCACAACAACTCACCGTCATGATTGTTCATCCGATTCCTCATATAGTTAAGGCCTGAATAATTACATTTGGACCTAAAAAAAGTATTACTTTACCATAGACGTCTATTTTTGTGAAAAGGAAATACAAAAATATTGTGGAAATAGATATAACTATTCTCGTTCATTTTCTATCATATCATCACCAAGGGAACATTTTCATTGGGAATAAAGTTATTGTATTCATTTGATTGTTGCCTTATTCTTTGAGACACTTTTGCATTGAGCATACTCATAAAATCACTTGTACAAACCAATATTTATTTTCTTTTTACCGATGAAAAAAAAATGTATGAACATGTTGATAGTGAATGTTCTATTTCCATTGTACTGTTTTGATACCTGTCTTTGGATCTTGGAAATGTGTATTGACAGTGTGATATATGTTCATTGACTTCACCCAACGTTCTATGTCTGTGGAATGGTATTTCACAATAATAAAATAACTACCATGTTATATTCCAGTGAAATCCTTTTAGATGTGTCAAATCTTCAATCAAGCAGCATGAGATGACCCTAAGCATTGGCTGTATCGATTGACATCCACATCAAGTGATAGATTTGTCAAGGTTAGCTGAATCCATGGATTGCTTTTTTCCATTTTGAGAGACCTTTTGGCTTAGCAGAGTGTTGTGGACCCCATCTGTCACATTTATCCCAACAAAATGGCCTCTTATATCTCAAATGTCCACTAGCTTTGGTCAGGTTGTTCTCTTCTGGGTGTATAAAAGAAGACATGGGGAGTCTTCTGCAACTATAATTCACTTGAAAAATGCTGCTTTTTATTTACCATATAAAGTTGTCTACCTATGTTATCTAAACCAGTGGTTCTCAACTGGTTTAGATAACATAGGTACCTCGGGACCCACTTTTTCCTTTGTCAATAGATCGCGACCCAACATTTTGAAGCACTCAAATCTATTCAACAAAAAATCCTGCTGTAATATACGCTTTTCAGCATACAATATTAATACAAGTGAAGTACAGTGCATATCCCTTATATCTCTTCACAGAACTAAAGTATGCTTTTAAAAAAGGTTTAATGAGATGATGGAATCAAAGCTGAACTATATAAAAAGGCACACATGCTGAAAACCCAACCCCAGAAGGGGGTCTGGGGGGATTCTCCCCCAGGAGATTTTTAGAAATACTAACAAACTATGCATTCTGGTACACTCTGAGAAGAAAATAAATAAATCTATTACTACCCGACATATTAATAATATTTTATGCCATTGTTTGTTTTTCACTTTGTTCTGACAGCTTGCAGAGTAAAGAGGAGATGTGACTTACTTTAAATTGTGGGTAAGGGTAGATAGCCCCCATTGTTCTGTGACCTGTCAATCATCAAACTGGGGGTCATATTTCATTATGTGTTCATTTTTATCTGAAGTTGTACCCATGGATGTATAAAGAAGAGTTCTACCGCAAAGTTATTCTCCGTGATTCAACAATCTTGATTCTGATTGTCCAGAAGACTCGGAAAAACATCAGCAAAGATATTTTATTGAGAAGATGATCACTATGTGACAGAAGTATTCAAAACCGTTTATGGTCTGCGGTACTTCCAGTCCAACGCCGACTGCATGCACAGCGTTAGAAAATTGGGCCTTCAAAATAAAAGTTTGACCTTTTCCCCCCAAAAAAAGTTCCAATTTTGTTTTCTTCACTCACACATCCGCGACCCACTCCAAACGGGTCCACGACCCACCAGTTGAGAACCACTGATCTAAATAGATTATTGTGCATATACGTCCCTAACCCTAACCCAACTTGATCTCACCAGAATGCGTGACTCCACCACGACTCCTTAACACCGCAGTGCGTGGTGGAGTCACAAACTTTGCTACATTTACGTGTCTGCACCACGCAAGACAGGCACATTCACACCGCAGTACTTTTCCCACAAAGGTTCATGAGAACTCTTTAGTTCTCATGAACTAAGTACAGATCGCGTTCACACCGGAATAAGTCCCTGGGGGAGGATTAGGCCGCTGACGTCACTTCTTCTTCTTCTGCTTTGGGTTTACTGGCAGGATGCAAACCACTTCAAGGCGTATACTGCCGCCCGAAGTCCCCGGCCAGAAGTCCCCGGAGTTGGGGACTGGCTTCAGTAGAAGCTGCTGGGAGTCCCAGCAGCCTTCCGAGTAAATCGCCAGAATGCCGACACCTCCTCATCTCCACCGCTCCCATGTTTTATTTTGTGTTGCCATAAGTTAGTCTCTCTGCGTTTCTGCACTGGGCTAATGCTAATGCTAATAATGCTAATGCGAGGATAATAAAATGGCGGCTTCACAAAACTTTTTGGGAGTTTTACGGGGCGTGGTTTGCAATCCGCCCAGCCAATCAGACATAGGAACCTCTTTCTCCCACGAAAGTCCCTGCTCTCTAGCAGGGACGGAAAAGGGGGTGAAAAGGTTCTCATGAACTAATTTTAGTTCCGGCTCTTTTTGGTGTGAACGCAACATTTCGGAACTATATCGGAACTAAAGTGGGAAAAGTACTGCGGTGTGAACGCGCCTAATGTAAAGTGAATGAAGCTCCTTTGTCATGGTGCACACACGCATTTCTACAACGTCCAGCAGTGAGCTTTTATTCTATAAAACGTTTTTAAAATCTACTTTATAGCACGGGAGGCTTCTTTTATTTTATTTGTATTCATAATCATTTGTATTTTTCATCAGAATGTATTATGGCAACCCTGTCTCCTAAAAATAACGTTCCCACAGAACTAAACTGCATTCTCAATTATGTTTAGCTAGAAACCTATTTTCTCCCACGTTACGTTCGTTATAAACGTATCTCAAATACGTTTATTTTCTATCTTCTAGAAACATATTTTCTCCCACGTTACGTTCGTTATCAACGTATCTTAAATACGTTTATTTTCTATATATCTTTGCCATTTATTGTCTTGCTTATAATAATGATAATAGTCATTTATAAATATCATTTTAGAGCACACATTTGAAATCAGTAGGCGAGGCTGTAATTTCGCCAGCTGTTACTCTCATGAGCGAGGCAGAAAATAATAGTTTCAACATGCCAAAAAGCTGCTGTGTCGTTTATTGCACCTCAAACATTAAAACAAATCCAGAGTTACGTGATTCTGTACTTCCTCTAAGAAGAAAGGACAGTAACAGAAGATCTCTGTGACGCCAGATGTGGTGTTGTTAATGCGATATGATATCCAGTTTAGGATGGCCGAAGACACTACACTACCCATAATCCCCAGCTATCGTTTGGGACTACAGTCCCGTTGACAAACCCCGTGATTAATCTTCAAGCTCTGGGATTGGATGTTGGAGTGGCAGTGCGCCAAGGTTACGCCGAGCGTCAAGATCTTTGAAATGGAACGAAACCACGGCAGACTATTCAAAACTGGACTTGAACGCCCCCCCAGAACTACACATGCTGGCTATTGTGTTTCGCAACATGTTCTCTATGGCACGTCTCTACTGGGAACGTTTTCGTTTTCCCCAAAATTAGAAGTTGACAGTATTAAACTGTGTACAGCCCTGGAGGTTTAGGCGATAGGAAACAAATTGGTGTGTACAAATTTAAAACATGTAATTACTAAATGGGTGAAAATCGCTTGTTTCCATAATGGGCAGCATTAATATATACCCACATGACAGCTCATTGTTACTTTGTAGTTCTACTCCACTACAATTCAGAGGTTAACCTGGTATTTTTACTCCACTACATTTATTTGAGTTACTTTGCAGATTCTGATTAATGATGTGAAATATAAACAACCCTTAAAGCAGACTTTAGTTACACCTGAGTAAAATTCAGGGAAAGGTGATTGTCAAGTGCCAACAATCAGGAGAGATATTTGATTGTTGGTGCTTGAGAAGACTAAACATGTATCTGCAGATCTCTATAAACTATATTCATTACTCGTTATTCTCTGCTAATAGTTAATTAAAAACTGTATATAATTGCTATTTTGCACATGCCTTTCAAGATTTCAAGATTTTCTAAGGTTTATTGACATATACACAACTACGGTGTAGTTCTCATTCATAACACTCCGTTCGATGTCTCACTATGGGATGCGCCTCATCGCGGAGCAAACAGAAGCATCAATCTCATTACGCCAATCCTGATTGGCTGGTGATCTTGACGTCAGCGTCAGGGAATTCACCCCCTATAAGTAGCTTGCGCCACGACGCATGCGTCATTCAAACACCTCTTCTCGCTTCAGAGCACATCTCTATAGTAGTCGGACAAGCTTAACGGTCCACAGACTGAACCCAAATATAACCATTTCGGTCGACGGGCGCTCGCCGGCTACTCCTTCTGCTTCGCAAGAAGACGGTAATACTAACGCCAGTTAGTATTAAAATCGACCTCGCCGTTTCTTTCCCCGGAAAGTAAGGTAAGGTTTTGAATTTTCTCAAGCTAGCTACGCACCTGTTGCTAGCTAGCTTCCCCTTACTACCGACGACACGGTAGCGAGGACGCTTTTCTTTTTCTCTCTCACGGAGGAGAAAAGGATTAGAAGTATATTGACACACCAGTCAATATTCTTTGAGAACAAAGGACCCACACCGTCCCTTTTTCTCCGGATTAAGGACGGGTTGGTAACACTTTTTCTCTCAACGACGTACCTGTTACGAGCGGGTCCTCTCCACGCCACGAGGCGAACAAGATGGACGCCTCTCCCCCTCACACCAGAGGAGTCAGGGACTCGGAGGCTTGGTCATGCGGCTGCGGGTTGAAGATAGCAGGCACAGACTCACACCAGGTCTGCTCGTCCTGCCTCGGGCTGGAACACGCCCAGGAGGCTATCGACAACCCCGGCTCGCATTGTGCCAGTTTCATCCGAAAGAGCCTCCACCGACGGCTAGCACACCAAGCTAGCTTGTTGGAACAGGACTCCCTCATGTCCACTGATTCGCCGTTTGGCAATCAAGACACGGGGGCGTCCGCCGCAGAGACTGAGCCCCTCACTGTGTCGGTCTGGGGCTCACTAACACCGGCAGCTGCGGAACCGGGATCCCACGCCGTGTCAGGCCGGGACCCGGTGGCGGCAAGAGACGCGGGAACGGAGCCCCACGCCTCACCAGGCGGGAGCTCCCGGCGAGACCTCACCATGGTCTCGCCCGCGGAGGATGTCCTGGAATTAGACTACATGGAGGACGAAGAGGACACCTCTGAGTTCCTCCTGTCTGATTCGGATGAGCAAGAAGAAGATATCTTCATGTCATCGGCTCAAACGGCAAAGCCCAGAGCGATGGCTGCTCTCCCGGGCGATAGCACACCAGCTTCGCCCTGTCTGAGCATGGACCTGCAGGCCGCGTGCCCAGGCAGGGGACGAGGGCGAGCTGGCCTATAAAATCTCCGGTTCCGGCTGCAGCCCAGGCGCAGCCAACCCAGAATTTCGGCCAGCTGTCGAGGAAGAAGAAGCGAGCGGCGTGACAGCCTCTCCTTCTCCCCTCTGTGACAGAG